TTTAGGCTTTTGAATGTTGGGGCCTTGACACCAGACTCAAGTGGTCCCAAGATGGGATTTGGGTTCAAATATTTGGCAAAGGAATTTCTTAATTCCTTTGCCTTTCGTTCAAAGGCTTAGGTCCACAAATGTTGTTCCTGCCGCACATACTTGTAGGATTGCTTAGGAGAACAGTTACAAATTTGGAGTTAAGTCAAAATATCTTGTTTATATTAGTTGTAGTCCATACTTTTCGCCACTTACATCTTTAATTTTTATCTTTCTATCATATCTTACTTATCTCCTGCCATTATTATTTATAAATTCGCAATGCTTTTGACGTCAGCGACTCTCCGATTTAACAGTTTCAGCCCCAGCTGGATTGGGAGTTGAGACGCTGGGTGCCTTCCTGGAGGTCTACTTATTCCTGTTGTGCGCACAGATTGAGTGTACTCTGGCCAATCGACGGCATCGTTGTATACCTCTGCTTGCCTGGGCTGTCGACTCTAGCTCTAAAAATCTACATGTGAAAGGTGGCGTTCAGAGTCATTCTCAGACTGAGCCATTCGCAAAATCTCTGATACATCAGCAACAAAAACAACAGTTATGTAGCAACAACTGCATAGATTTACCTGACCGGTCGAGAGAAAGCATCTTTAATAGTTCAGTAGCCCTAGAAAGAGGAAATGAGCTCAGACGCAGGTATCATGTGGGTAAAAATTTGGAAGAAGATGGAGATGAGACAGCAGATGAGGTGGAGAACGGCGGACCTAACGATAATTTTTGCTTTCTGAATAGGAGAAGCTCAACTCCGACCCTCAGAAAGTCAGATATGACCCTGGTGAATAGAGGGGAAGAACGGGTACATATTATATTATTTTTATGATCTATGCAGTAAATCAGACTATTTAGTAATAATATTTATGTTAACTTAGTTTATGACCGGTTCAACTAACTCTGCTAATCAGCATAATTTATATCGGTTTGAAGACCAAAATGATGTAACCTTTAATATGGTTGCAGTATCTTTTCTTTGTATAGAAGTGGGGTAGCCTTGTTTTCGCAACTTGTTGATATTGTCAGGGAGGCCAAGATAAATGGACCTTGTCTGGATTATACCACCATAGTATCCATGATTATTTT